ATTCGCTTCACTAATGTGTCAAAAAATCAGCTGCTAAAAATCAGGCAAAAGCAGCCCACTGCATTCATATTCTGACCATTGTTTTCTGTTCGTCTGAGGGAAGGCTCGCTCAGTTCAGGCAGCTCAGAGGTTTAGTTCCTGACGGGAAGCATGATGAGCGCAGACATGGTACTGAAGACGGCTGAGCGTTCTCCAGGCAGCAGAAGAGTGAGACAATGAGCCTGGCTTGAGCATCTCAAGCCTCAAAGTCCGCCCCCAGTGACACCCTTCCTGTAGCAACACCACACCTACTCCAACAAGGCTACACTATTCCTCCTAAAAGTGCCACTCACCATGAGCCCATGGGAGGCATTTTCATTCAAATCACCATAGAAGGCCTGCAGGTAGCCCAGAACTGAGTCCTATGGATACGTAAATGGCCAACTTCCAGGCAGAGGGTCTTCCCCACCTGCTAGATGGGTGGAGCCAGCAGGTGTACAGGGCACTGTGGGTGAACAGATGATGCCATCAACCCCAGAGCCAGGAAGGAATGATGGACAAAGAAGTTAGGGTGGGGGTGGTTTGCAGGCTTTTGATCTGGGAGAAGAAAAACGAGGATGGGGATTTCTGAGGAGAAGAGAGCTGGAGGCTGAGGGAGCAGCTGCCTCTGGAGGGGCCTCCCTGAGGACCCTAACACTACCTTTCAAGAGCCAGGAAGAGGAGGGCTGTGAATCCCTCAGAGGTCAAGTGCTTCCCAGCATGCACAAGTCTCTGGGTTCCAACACCAGCACAGCAAAACAAACAGGCAGGAAAAAACCATCTTCCTGAGTCTGGCCTGGAATGGGTCCAGCCCTGCAGCTGCCAGTTTGGAGCTCAGGGAAACTTTCTGCTTCCCAACCTTTACAGGGCTCTGCCTCTGGGTCTGGAGAGCTGACCTTGCAGAGGGCAGGTGCCTGGTCACAGCTAACCCAGGATGTCAGCGTGGTCCTGCTGCAGTGCACTCCCTGACATCTCCAACCCTGTCCCAGCCTGACACCTACAGCGCGGGCTGGAAAAGCTGGTGGGTGGGGGAGATGCCTGGAGAAGGGAGACAAGCTGTCTCGCCTGTGGGAGGAGTTAGAGGAAAGCAGGGGTGGGGGGAGTTAGAGGAGAGCAGGGGTGGGGGGAGTTAGAGGAGAGCAGGGGTGGGGGGAGTTAGAGGAGAGCAGGGGAGTGCAGAGCCTACTGTGATCTTTTATTGACCGTTGCCTTCCTCTGCCCCACTGTCCAGCACCTGGCTCCCTTCTGAGCATCCCTGCTCAGCCTCAGGCTGGCAGAGAAGGAGCCTGTTCCCAATGCTGGCTCTGCCACAGGTTCCTAGAACCACCTTTGGAGGCTCACTCTTCTGTGCCTCAGTGTCCTCTCCTGTGAACTGAGATAATACTGTCTACCTAGACAGGGTCTTGGGGACGGGAAAATGAATTACTATAACCACACAGGCAGCTTGTTGCGACTGTCAGTACATGGTAGATAGTATTTCAGGTAAGATATTCACTTTGACTCAGAAGAGTGCAGGGAAAGTCCTCTGCACTGGGGTCCCAGCCCCCTCTCTGCCCTGCCTCACCAAGATGATGTTTCTATGCCCTCATCAATGGCTTGTCTGAGGCAGATACCCAGCACACATGCCTCTGAACATGCTTGTACAATAGCCACCCACCCCCTTACACACTCAAAACATCTGAGTGGAAGACAGATCACTTGCTGTCTCTGCCATCAGATGACCACAAAAGTGCCGCCCTCAAGGGCTTGGATGGGAACATAGAAGTGTGCCTCCTTACCATCGGGCAGCCTCTGGGGAGCTTCCCATACATCCCGCCCTTAGCAAAGAGGCAGAGATTTGACTCTTATGACAGGCCAGTCATGCAGACACTAGAGCCATTGAGCAACAGCAGCATGTTATCGAATCTGAGGAAAAGTTCATTCTCCAGCCAGCTGGTCTCCAGCCAGTTAGTCTCTGCCCCACCCAGGTCCCAGACATGCCCCTCACCAAATGAATTGCCTGATCCATCCCTCCTCCGTCTGTCTGCTCTGTGTTTCCTGAAGTAGACTAATTTAGCGTCTTGGGATCAGTCACAGCTGGATTGCTTTCCTCTCTAAGCATTTAGGAGTTGATTAAGCTGAGATCCCACCGGGGTGATCAGGCCCACTTGTTTCTCAGGGACCCTGAGAAAATCCCTGATACTCTGCTGTGTAACTAGGACAGTAGGTCACCCTGGGTGTCACAGCGCATGATCCAGATGTCAACAGGAATTCAGGACAGAACAAGTCTGCTTGGACTAGGGTCTTGGGCAGAGTGGGACTTGAAAAAGCCGGGATGGGATTTCTCAGAGAGGACTCAAACCAGAAGCATCCTTGGAGAGATTTCCAGAGACAGCAGCAGTGGGCACCAGGCCAGAATGGAAGGTACATTGAAGAGCAACATGGTCCTACCAAGCTCTGGGAAGGTCCAGGGAAAATGCACCCTACAGGAAGGATTTAGGCCAACCTCTGCCTTGTGAAAAACCAACCAAGGCTTCAGCAAGACTGCCACAGACTAGTGGAGGTGGGACAGACATCCTAAGTTGGTGGGAAGTGTAACAGATGCAGCTAATGCCGAATCTGTTCCAGTGTCCTGGGTTGAAACCAGATAACAGAAGCTTTCAGGGCTGAAGATGCTGCCCCTTCAGAGCCAGGCTGTGGGCACCCAGCTCTAGAAGCGCCCTCTAGTGGAGGCTCTGTCATTCGCGTTCACCGAGTGAATAACCAAACGCATCCCTTCTGCAGTCTTAAAGACCAAGCCCTAAGTATGGGATCTGACAGTCTCAACTGGCCCTCTACCAAACCTAAATTTTAACTGCGGTACCTCCCAGGTTGAGTTCCCTACTCCACCCCACCCCAATGCTCAGTGTTGTCTGTTACAAGACTTCCTCTCTTTTGCATTCATCTGAGAAGTAAGTACCCATAAGAACATTGGTCCCCCATGTTTACTGGAGGATGAACTCCACCCCAGATATGAAGGAGCTTGTTCTGATAGACTTTGTGTTTCTTACCTGACAGTTCACCATTAAAACATAGTAGACCCCATCTTTAATGAGAATGAGTGGGGCCAGTTTGAACTCCCATGATCGTTTTCTCAAGACTTCAACAGCTTCCTTCTTTGACAGGAAGTTCTGAAGGGCATTGCTTCAGCCTGAGCATCATTTTGGAGCGATGAACTCTGTGGAGTGATGAACTCTAATGAAAACATGCTGATTGGCAGTTGGGAAGTGGAATGCTGTTTCTCTGCATGATGGATCTATGCAAATTCAAGATAGTATTTCTCTACCTCCGTGAAGACACAGGGAGCCGTGAAGCACTTGCCAGTATTTTCCACCCCTGTGGCAGGGTTTCTTTTGTGCCACCAACCAGCTCCCAAACCATAACATGGAGACTTATTATTAGTTATGAATGCTCTGCCTTATCTTATGCTTGTCTCACTAGCTCATAACTTATTTTAACCTATTTCTTTTCATCTACAGTTTGCTTCAGGGCTTTTACCGTTCTTTGTGTATCTCCTACTCCATGTTTGGCTGACTGGCAGCTGCCTGACTAGCTGGCCCTGGGTGTCTCCCTCTTTTTCTCCCTCATTCTCTTCTCTTTTCTTCTCTTCCTCTAATTTTCTCTCTCTCTCTCTCTCTCTCTCTCTCTCTCTCTCTCTCTCTCTCATATCATATCTAGATCCTTCCTCCTATCTCTCTGCCCACCAGCTAGCTCCACCTATTTTCTGTTCAGCATTAGACCAATCAGGTGCCTTAGGCAGACAGCATGAAACAGCAACACACCTTTACATAGTTAAACAAATGCGGCACAAATGCAACACACCTTTACAGAGTTAAAGTTAAGTATTCCACAACACCCCACCCCACACATTCACCAGAGTTCTCAGCGACTTGTTCTCTGCTGATGTCCCTGTCTGGATCCACACTCAGCCTCCAACTGACCCTGCTTTGCAGCAGCTGTTCAAGGTGGGCTTGTGTGCTCACCTGCCTGGCTGTGCTAGCCTATAGGTGTGCCTCTGTGGCAGCTGACTCAAAGGATCAGGGGCTATGGTAGTATTTTTCATCATTCTGATGAATTACTGGAAGAATCTATTCAAAAATGATTTGGGAATCACAGTTTCAGAGGTTTGGGTCTACAGGTCATAATGGGTTTTCTGGGCCTAATATGAGGATTGATGGGCAGAGCTGCTCACTCTGTGACAGATGGGAAGCAGGGGGGGGAGTGGCCAGCAATAATGCCTATCCTTCTAGGACATGCCTCTAGTGAAGGCAGGCCGCCATGGAGAGAGGACTGATTGTGCAGAGAGGCTCACTCCATAACAAACAGGAAGGGGGAGAGAGAGAGGTGGCCAGCAATGGCATGTAGCTTTTCAGAGAATGCCTCCCCTTCCTCTAACACACACCATGAAGGGATTGATCTATTGATTAAGTTGGAGTCCTCATGAACCAGTCACATCTCATGATTACACCCACCGGCTAGGGCCAAACTAACTGTTTGGGCAACAGTTCATAACCAAACCTTAAGTGTTCTAGTTTGGAGTCCGAGTCTAAAGTCAGGCTAATGCAAATGCTGTAAGCACATGGAGGGTGGTGAGGTTAAACCAAAAGCAGGGAGCCCGTGTGCATTAAATGTATCTTAGTCCTAGAAAGGTTGCTAGGAAGACAATCCCACCCTAGATGGAGCTGCATTGGTATCTCATCGATGTCTGTTGCCTTAATCACTCGTGTCCATGCAGCATGGGGTTTGTGCTGGATCTCAGCCTGTCCCCCAGTCTTCCATGAACTGGGTCAGGGAACTGTTTGTGTCTCTGGGACTGAGGGCTGCTAAGGCTCCAACCCTCCCTCATGCAGGTACAGCTGCTCCTGCCGAGACAGCACCCTTACTTCATGGCAGTCCAGCACCTAACGATGGAGGCCATGTGGAGGGTGAGGTCTCCTGAAGGCTTTGTTCCTGTGCCCTCACAGGTGGGATCCCGTTCATCCTGACCGGCGAGTTCTTCCAGCAGTCAGAGCGGCCAGCGGCCTTCATTATCGCAGGCACAGTCAACTGGCTCTCCAACTTCGCTGTGGGGCTCCTTTTCCCCTTCATGCAGGTATGCCTGACCAGGGGGCCTCCAGCCTTCACATTGCCTGGGGACTCTGAGACATGGTGAAATTTGTCTGGTTGCTTTCTGATGGGTGCCTCTTTCTCCATCTCTCTCCCCACCACTCTCTCTCTCCTGTCTCTTTGTCTCAACTCATACTGTGGTCCTGAGGAAGGAAGGATATGTACTTTGATGATGATCCTCTTCTCTCCCTCCTGTCCTTCCCTCCTATCCCTCCTTCCTCTTGTCCCTCTTTCCTCCCTATCCCACCTTCCTCCTCTTCTACCCCCTCCTTTCTCCTGTCCCTCCCTCCCTCCCATCCCTTTCCCCATTCTGTCCCTTTTTCATCTCTGTCCCTCCTCTCTCCCGTCCCTCCTCCCTCTGTCCCTTCTAGGAGCTGGTCCCAGATGCTATGGGCTGCCTCCTGAAGAATGGGTCACCTATTGCTTGACCCTATGACTTATAGGCCACTCTTGCCGTGTGCGCACCACTGTGTCAGACAAACCTCATAGAAATGTTGCTCTGTGTGTCCTACATACACTCTGAGCCTCCCAAAGAAGACAGTGATTGGTAGGAAAATGCCTACACATTTCAGAAGCAGATGCAAATTCACTAGGGTTTGCAGCGTTTGGGGAAACAAAAATGAGTGAGCCCCAGCCTGTGGGCTGTTAAAGACAGGGTTCTGAAGCTTATAGGCTGCTGGAGCTGTGCTTCTGTAGCACGCGGGCTGTTGGGGGTATAGTGCTCCTCAAAGATGTCTCAAAGGAAGAGGTACTGGAGTAGAGACATGAGAAAGATATGGAGCAGGGGAGTCTGGGAAGTATAAAGTCCAGGTTAGCCTAACAGCCGTGCAAACAAGCTGGTTCATGCTTGCCCTAGATGGGAAGCAATATAGGGGCTGATACAGCTGCAGCAGGGTGAGGCAGGAGGTGGCTGAGTAGAGAGTGAGCTCACGAACTTATCCGTAGGTCAGAGCATAAAAGACAAGGACTTTGCAAAGGTTGTGCACAGAGACAGAGCCCAGCAGCATCCAACTGGAACACCAACACCCAGGGCTCCCTGAGGCCCATGACACAGGTGTATCAACCTGGAGAGGGTGAGACTACATCACATACCCCCAACCACACACCTGTCATCTGTCCCCAAAGGGCATTTCAGTCCCATCATCCTTCCTGGCCCACTATTCCAAACACTGCTTAGTGCCAGCCCAGCATGTCCCAGTGACCCTAGTGCCAGCGAGAAAGCCCTGTCCCCCGCCCACCACGCCCAGCCATGGCACAGCTGTAGACCTGTGGGACAGCTGCTTCTCTCACAGCTGCAAACTCTACTCCACAGCCTCCAGGTCCTCCCCCACGGCCTTCAGCTACAGACAAGTCCACTGAGGCCAGGGAAGAGGTGGTTATTCCAGGCTCCAGGGCCCACCAAGTCCAGCTCCCCTACCCACTTGTCTTTACTCTGGTCATGTGCCGCTGCCTCCTCAACTCAGCAGCTGGAAGGCAGGTGCCCCATCCAGCCTCCAGGTCACCTTCGGCTGCATTTATACAATGGCTTCCCATCTCACAGTGCTACAGGTCCTTCCAGGGGCCACCGAAAACAGAGAGACCTATGCTTAGCACCCTCTTCCTTGGGGCCCCCTTTTCAGCTGCGGCCAGGACACAACAAGCTGGTTTTTCAATTGACCCTATACCTTCGGTGTGATTTTCCTGTTTGGTTAAAAACTAGCAGGCAGAGCCTGCGGTTAGTAAAACATCCATTTCATGGAGAAAATGAACTTCAGGTTGCCGGCTGGCTCTCTCCCACTCCTTCACAGCTGAGCCTTCCCAGGCTCAGGGTACACTCTCTGGGTCCGTGAAGCAGACCTGTCTTCTACACACCCGGGGGCGAGCAAAGTAGATCTTTTATTTCTATTTTTTTATTGATTTTTATTGAGCTCTACATTTTTCTCTGCCCCCCTCCCTGCCTCTCCCTTCCCCTTCAACCCTCTCCCAAGGTCCCCATGCTCCCAATTTACTCAGGAGATTTTGTCTTTTTCTACTTCCCATGTAGATTAGATCTATGTATGTCTCTCTTAGGGTCCTCATTGTTGTCTAAATTCTCTGAGATTGTGGTTTTCTTTGCTTTATGTTTACAAACCACTTATGAGCAAAGTAGATCTTATAGACACTACAGCCCTAATGCCATTCCTCCAGGCCAGGAGGGAGACGCGTCCATGGGTACATTCATGTAAACATCTATTGAGCGTTTGCCGTGTGCCTGAAGGCCATGAGATTCATCTGGGAGTTTAGGGTGTCTGGTGGCTGCTGGAGAAACACCCACCCCAGGTTCTGATGCAATGTGGAGGGGGTGGGATTACCAGCATGTGTCAAAACAGTGCAAATGATCTGAGCACATTACTAAGACTGAGCTCCCCCCCCCCCGACATCTGGTAACCCGTGAAGGATGGCAATCAGTGGGAACACATAGGAAATCGTGTGGGTGTTTCTGGAAGAGCTCCTTTTAGATACTCAGAGACAGGATTGCAATGAGAGACTGTGAGCAGAGACCTGGTGGCTGACAGTCTGTGGTTTACCAGGGATCCTGCGGTAAGGCCTGGGGCAAGTAAAGAGGGAAGGGAAGTACCTGCAAGGACAAGGTGAGGGTCCTGAGGCAGCAGGACCTGTGTGGAGGTGCTCTCCCCTAGCTGAGAGAGAGCCAGGGTGGCAACAGGCACTTTGCCCCCAGACCCCTGGGTCTCCACTCGCTTCTATGAAAGCAGTCAGCCATTGACCCTCAGCAGCCTGTTCTTCCAAGTGCTGGTTCAGTGGGAAGATTTGCATAATAGAAATGAGGCCTCATCAAGCAATAAAGGCCTTATCTGTAAGACAGTGGTTCCAGCTGGCCGCTTCTGACCAGAGCTCCCTCCCTGCAGAAGCCTTGCCTTCAAATTCAGCTACGTCTCAGTCCTTTCTCGGTGACCTCAATTAGCAGAAGCGCTACCTCGCGATCAGCTTGTTCCCCACAGGACAGGCATGGTTGTGACATGGGCTCTACAGCACAGAGGTTTCAAAATGATCAAGTCCCCACTGCCTTCCTACACATAGTAAAGGTATTTCATAGGTCACATAGGTTGTGCCAAACTTGGAAACTCATAACTTCTGCAGGTAAGCAATGGAGACACAGGAACCAGCTCAGGCCACAAAGAGAGTTCAAGATCATCAGCCTGGACTACACAAAATTTTATCTAAAAGCACACACACATACACAAATAAACAAACAAGAAAATGAAACAAAAGACCCATGGGTGGTATAGACACAAACATAGGTATTAGTGGATGGATAGAGAGATATAGAGCTAGATATTTCATAGATATATAAAAAGATGACATGTGTATAGTCAGATAATGAGTAGATTTGGGTCTATTTATCAAAGACATACACATAACTTTGCCCAGCATTAGGAGAACATTGTAGAACAAAAGAAATGAGAACAGTGATCAAGACTAAAAAATGAGAGAAACAAACACAGACAAGAAGGGGTCTCAGCATGGACCAGAGGGGTAGTGCATTAAGAAGTGGGGTGTATTGCAAGCTGAGGAGATTGCTCAGTGGGTAACAAATTTACCACACAGCAATGAGAACCTAAATCGAGACCCCAATTCCCAGCACCCAGGTAAAGCTGAACACCATAGGGCATCTTTAGTAATCCCAACACTGCAGCCGTGAGAGGGGAGACAGTCAAGGGGATCCCTGGACGCTCATGGGCTAGACAACCTGCTATGTCCATATACACAGCAGCAAACAACAAACGATGTCTCCGACATGGTGGAAGGCAAAGTCTGGCCCCTGAGGCGGCTCTCTCACTTCCCCATAGCATCTGTATGTGTGTGCACTTGCACACACAAATTAGAAGAAAAAATGAGCGATATGGTTAATTGAGTCCTATGTGCTTGAGGTTGGAGTGGAGTAGGAGAAGGTGAAAGGGAAAACTTAAAAAGCCAGTGGAAATCACCCTCAGCCTGAGCATCACTGCTGACTGAGACGGAAGCCCAAGAGCCCCACATACCAGGGATGCTGCCTTGAGCATACCGGCATTTCATTGGCTGTCCCGTGGCAGGAGCCCACAGCCAATGTTTTATGGAGGCTGTCTCAGGAAGCCTAACACAGCCCTGCAGGGTTCATTACTCAGCTACCACCCAAGGGTGTGAGTGGGCCCGGAAGACACTAGACCAGAGGGAACAGGCACTGATTGACATTTATTTCTTCCTCCTGCTTCTGTTCCTCCTCCTCTTCCTTTGTTCCTGTGAAGTTCTTCGGGAATTCAAATTATAAATGATTCAGCTTTGCTGCTGAAACTGTGAATATCTGATGAACAGAAGTGACCCGCACTAATGACTTCCTTCCTTCCTTCCAAATATAAAATGGGGGTCTGTGTATGTGCAGGTGCATGTGCACATAAGTGCATTGCATTGTGTGCTCTGTGTGTGTGTGTGCGCGCGCGCGTGCGTGAGTGTGCGTACATGCGTGTGTCAAGTGTTCATATGTACAGAGGCCAGAGATAGATCAACCCTCTTCTGCCTCGGGCACCATCTTTGTTTGAGATAGGGTCTCTCACTCTCTATGACAAGATTGGTCTTGAACTCATTCTAAATCTGCCTGGCTCCCAAGGAGCCAAGATGACAGGCCTGAGCCGCTAGGCCTGATGTGGCTCCATCTAGAGGCTATGCAGACAGAGCCTGTTGCATATTGGTGGAATGGTCCTTGGCTTATAGCAGCCCAACTTCAGCTCTGACCCCCATAGTTACACCAAGTGCCGTGTGTGTGTGTGTGTGTGCATCTATGTCTGTGTGTGTATATATATGTGTGTGTGTGTATCTGTGTATGTGTATCTGTGAATAAATATGTGTAAGTATGTGTATGTGTGTGTTTGTGTGTCTCTGTGTGTGGACATATGTGTCTATGTATGCATGTGTATATATGTGTATGTGTGTATATCTATCTGTGTGTGTATTTGTGTACATGTGTCTGTCTGT